TATATTATTCTTACTGTTTTTCTTTTCTTTTTTAAAATTCTTAGTAGGAAAAATAAAAATATTGGGGATGCTTTCCTTAAATCAATTCTCTCTCTCTCTCTCTCTCTCTCTCTCTCTCTCTCTCTCTCTCTCTCTCTGTATCCACATGAAACAATCCTGATAGTCTATGGCCCTAAAATGTGAGCAAAACAACTTGAAAGGGTTTCCCTACACCACTCTGCCCCTCTGCCCCTGGTAGGCCCAGTGTCTCAGCAGCCACTGGCCACCTAGTGAACCATTCTGTGTGTCCCCTAGAGCTCTCTTGGTCACATAAGTCCAAGGGCTCAAGTCTATTTGGAAACAAAGGAACTGAAAAGGAACTAAACACCTAGTTTCTCTGTCCTCACTTAAGTAACCTCAGCATCTGTACTTCCTCCTCCCCAGACAGTGTACGCCTTAAAATAACCTTCATTGGCACATCATTTCTCACTAGAAGTCCTTTTTCTTTCCATGGTCCTCTAATTTTCTCTCTTCCAGCACAGGGAGAATCATATTTACTCAAAAAACCACAGTGTTGAACTATAGCCCTCAGTTTCTTAGAGTTTCACTTTCCAAGGGAATTTTGCAGCTGGTTCCATCTGCTTTTCCTGATTTTCTTTTCTCTTCTGCCCATTTTGATTTCTTCCCCAGGCCTATCCTCCACCTAGCCATAGTATTCTTACCTCCACCACACAGCACCATGCTGGTCTTCTCTTGTCATAAAAGACACACAGTTCATGTGTATCCCAAACAGAAAATGCTCAGGAAATAGTTGTTGATTTGTACTAACTATTGCTAGAACTTTTAATGTTAATATTTCTAGGAGCAGTTGTGTCTTATGACACTTCATATGGCTAAGTTAGGTTTTGTGTCAGTACTCTACCTCGCTGTGTGTTTCTTGACAGGAATTGCCTCTGTTGAAAGTGTATAAACGAACTACTTTAAATGCTAATAATCTTCTTGTGATTAAAAATTCTAGGGCCGACCAAATAGCTCAGCAGATTAAAGCACTTGCAAGCAGGTGCAGGGACCAGGTTTCATCCCCGGGCCTGCCATGCCGGCCCCACCCCTGGGGCGTGCTGAGACAGCAATTGAGACTGGGTGTGGTGGCGCGGGCCTGTAATCCCAGCTCTTGGGAGGCTGTAAACAGGCAGATCACTACAAGTCTGATCTAGTAGTGAGACCCTGAACACCCTGTAGACCTTTCCCTAAAATATAAAAAGAAATAAAAATTAAAAATAAAAATTCTATATGCATTTTAAATGTTAAAATTGTCTTTCCTTAGCATATATTTGGATATTCTCTATAATCCCAACTGGTGTGTCCAAAGGAAAAGCAATCCATGCTTAAGTTAGATGCTTTCAAATACAATATCACATGTCTGGGCCAAGACAGTGAGGTTCACCTACGTCAGATACTGTTTCCACTGCTTTACAAATATTAAGTAGCTTAAATATCATAAAGTTCTCTGAGACAGCAATTCTTATTATTTTAGTTTTACAGCTGAGGAAAGTAAGCATAGAGAGGTAATATACGCACAGTCACACACAGAGTACGTAGTAGAGCCAGGACTGGGGTCCAGGCCGTCTGTCTCTAGAGTTTGTGCACCTAACCGCTCTTCAGTGCTACTTCACTAATACCGACTGGGCAGAGGGGGTGTGGAGTAGAGGAGTACTGAACCCCGGGCTTAGCTCATGCTAAGCATATGTTCTGCATCTCAGCCCCAATAACAATGCTTAGATTGGGTCTTTCTGGTTTTTGGCAGAACTGGTGATTGAACTCAGGCCCTTGAGCTTGCCAGGCAAGTGCTTATTCTACTGAGCCATCTCCCCAGCCCAATTGGGTCTTTCTAAATCCTACTACAAGACAGAAAAAAGTTCAGATTAACCTTGCAGAGCTCTATGGAGGCAGTATTTTACATATCCAACCATTTTTCTGAAATCAAGTCCTCATTTAAAGAAGTAAGACTTTCAACTCTTTTTGAAATAAAGCCATCACACTGAAATTGCCCCTTCTAGGTTTGGCATGGCACCCTTCAACTAAGAATTTATAGTAAATTTTCTCACAGTATAGGTGTAAAATACATGGTATTTTGATATCAAATTATAATGAATCATTAGACTCCTTCATAGAATCCTTATGATATCCAAATCACATTGAATAATAATTTGCTTTTAAGACATTTGAGTTTATTAGATCCTCTACATAAATTACCCACTAAGCAAAGCAGAATTTCCATTTTTGCTTTGAAATCAAGACCCCAATCTTGATATACTGAGTTAGCAAATAAATAAGCATTGCTTTATTTAGACCTTTTGTGTTATTAAAGGTTTTCATTGCATGCTTTTAGTTTTCCTAGTCTCTAAGGTTCTTTTGCAATCAGTATGTGGTTTTCAATTCTTTGACAAGTTTATGATGTCATGTAACTTCTTAATGTGTGGCAATTTAGCTGGGTGAGATGATATATCCCTGTAAACTTAGTCACTCAGGAGACTGAGAAAGAAGGATTAAAAATTCAAGACCAATTTCGGTCACTTAGTGAAACCCTATTTCACAACAAAAAGTGAAAAGGGCTAGGGATGTAGCTCAGGGGTAGAACACTTGTTCAGCAGAGCAAGCTCCTGGGATCAGTCCTCATACTGGTGGGGGCAGGGTGGGGGATGTGTTTACAGTGACCTAATAGAAGGGGAAGTTTGGAATTTAATTACCTTTTTGTGTAACTACAGCACTATAATTTCCAATTAAGCTCTCATTTTGTATAAGATACTCTTCTAGGAAGTAACCTCACAAAAGAAGTAAGAATGGATTCCCTGCCTTTTAAGAACTAAATGGTTCAAAGTTTCTGGGACAATCATGTACCAAAATATAGGCATATTTAGTGCTAGTTCCTCTAAATTCATGCATGACATAAAGGACTCATATGAATCTTCACGTCTAGGTCTATGCCCCTTTTCACTAACTCTCAAGATCTTCCTGTGACTGGCTTAAAGTTGCGATTCTTTGAAATGCATGAGATATTAAGTACCTCCTGCCCAGTATTATTAGCCCTGTAATTGGATATTGAAGCTCTAACTGGTCTTAGCAATAAAAGAACTTTAATTTGTATATCACTTTACAGGTTTCATGACTATAGATGTATGTGTATAAGTACATACATGCATGCATACATAAATATACACATATTATCTTGTTGTGGCCTTTTATTAGTTTCTACTTTATTAGTATATGTTTGCAATACATAATAATTAGACTCTGTGATCTTATATAAGTCAGATCAAATCCAATTCTTGCTTAATTCCTTCAATAACTTTCACTCACACTCAGAATAAAAACAACTCTCCATTCTCTTTGACCTCATTTTTAAAAATGTATAATTCCATCCTTAGTTATACTCCAGATGGTCTCCCTTTGGTTTTGGTTTTACAAAAAAACAATATTATATCTACCTCAAGTCCTTTTTTCCAACTTCCAGATCAATTAGGGGGGTTGGTTCCTTCACTCAGGTCTGAGTTCAGATAGCAGCTTGCAGAAGGGCCTCCCCTGACCAACGGAAGTTTCGCCCTACCCTCCTACCAAGTAACTTGTACAGTGTTATTCTACCTTATTTGCTTCTTGGTCCCTATTGCTTCAATTCATTTTGTTTACTTATTTATTGTTATTGCTTAAATTCCATTTGTTTCTTCGCTAAGTTATTGTTGGTTTTTTCCCTTGATTACAATGTAAGCCAATGAGAGCAGAGACTTAACTCTATTCATTACTGTATACCTGCCCCCAGAAATCTGCTTGGCATTGAGCAGGAAAACTAATGAAATAGTTCATTTAATTATGCCTTAATGTTTTTGGGTAGGAATAGATTTTCTAACCTCATTTTATTCTCTATAGGTAATTTCATCTACTCCTATGGATTTTTCTACCTGTCTCACTATTTTCCTCCAGTCTAGATCTTTGTTTATGAGATAACCAGCTCTAAACTATATCTGACTTTTTGTTTCCTATTGCTGCTTTTTAATTTAAACTTCTCTGATCAAATCCAATTCTTGGATTTGTAGATCACAAGAAGATCTACAAAATACCTGTGAGTCTAAGTTGCCAGCATTTGTTGCCAGTTTAAACACACATCTTGTTTTTGCTCTCCCTTTTTCCTTATTTCGATCTCCCAGTTCTTCACACCTTTTTCTTATTATTGTTTCTTAAGTGAACTATCTATAGGCGAGGTTTTGACTCTGGCTATGCTTTCAAGGCCCACGTACCATTACTTATTGCATGACCCCTAAGAACTACAAGATTTCCTTCCAGAGTATCTAAACCCTAAACCAGTGTAGTTTGGCCAGTTCCCAGCTTGTGAATCAGAGACTGGACCATTTCAAAATTTCAGAGGGCCATAGTTTGACAAGAGACTTTGTCCTTTCCTTGAAGGCATGCAGCTGTAGTCGCTCTGTGTGTCAGATCTGACCTGAGGGTCAATGACGTTTTATTATTACTGCAGTTATTTTCAAAATATGGTTGCAATATTTATGCCATGCTTCCTATAAAGTATCTCTCCATAACATTTGTTCTCTATTCTATCATAATTCATGACTTCTGATGCATTAAGTGTTCATAAAGTGCCATAACAAAAAACTGAAGAGATTCTCAATATTTTCTAATATGAAAAAATTTCTATTTTCCAGCAAAGATTGTTGCATTCCTAAAATCACCTTATATGCTAGAATATACACTTGTTTTTATCACATTTTCCCTTGAATTTATTTAGGAAAAAAAAATGATACTTTCTATAAGTGGACATCTATCAATGTGTTTGTGTGTGCGTGTGCGTGTGTGCACATGCGTGCCAACTCACTTTGGTGCATCACAATGAAAAAGCACAAGTCATGAATACTTGGGAGCAGGAATCAGAAACATTTCCTTTAGTGAATGCATGTTGCTTTTCTGTTGGGAATATCTTAAAATTTCATTGTTCCTTTCTGCTTTTATATGAACAGGTGGTTAACACATACACCCCAGGAAAGAAGATTTGGCTTGAAGGGGTAGTGACCACCTCAGCTGGCGGCACAAATAATCTATCGGATTCCTATGCTGCAGGATTCTTGTAAGTGACGTTTGTAGTTTCCTTCCCAAAGACTTTCAGGAAAGAAGGAGAGTGAAACTGACATAGTGGTCATGCTGCTCAAAGATTTGCAGGTGGTTATGCAGGGCGAAGTTTGTTTCTGTTTGAAAGTTAATCAATTTGTGAAAAATTTTAACCATTTAACAAAGTTATTAGTGCCTTCTCTATATACTAAAAGTCAGACATGACCATCAAGGCAAAGAGGAAGAGTAACCATAACAATAATAAGTGGAATGACTTTATTCAGCAAGCCTGCAATTTAAACAATATACATAAAAAAGGGCTGGCCTGATAGCTCAGTGGACAAAAGCTCCTGCTTAAGCAGAGCGCAGCAGCGGGTTCAATCCCCAGCATGCCATACTGAGCCAGCGACTAAGACTGGGCATGGTGGTGTGTGCCTGTCATCCCAGTACTTGGCAGGCTGAAAACAGGAGAATCACTATGAATCTGATCTGTGTAGTGAGACCCTGTAGACTCTGTAGACCCTGCATTAAATAGAAACATAAGTAAATACAACAAACATAATCTTACCAATTTTTACCATAATTTTGATAACAACGTAAGACTTTCCCCTCCATAAATATATATTTGGAGTAAGTAGGATAAGAGCTGACTATATTGCAAACTGCTGGAGATAACTACCTCATAATACTACTTTAAGCTATCTATTATTTACCATATACCAATCACTGCCTAAACAGCTCTATATGTATTTAATAATTTAACAACCAATGAAATCAACAGCTTTCATTGTAAGCTAATGAAACAGATGCTATTATTAACTTCATGTTACATTTAAAGACATTGAATGTGTCAAACTACCTCTCCCAAGGTCATTCATTCAGTTAGTGGCAAAACTCAGATCCAAACCAGACAGCCTGCTCCAGAGTCTAGCCTCTCCACCACTGTAGTTGACCATGTTTCTTTCAAAGGGTTCCTCCATAAGAGGGAAGAGATCAACAGCCAAAGAAGTAAAGGAAATTTTAGACTGGGAATGTCAGGAAAAGCTTTGGGGGAGTAGTGGCACTTGAGTGGGCCATAAAAGGATTACTCTAGTTTCTGTAAGTGGACAGTGGTAGTGATGATAGGGGGAGGTACTCCAGACCAAAGAAACATTGTGGTCAGACAGCCTCCTCGGTGGGATATATGAATCATTTTACCACCTTTATTCTCCACATGAGCATAGAAGGTAGGCTGAGCAGACTAGTGGCCTCTCCCTTCTGGTTTACTGTTATAGGAGGAAGATAAGTATAACTTGGTTTTAGCCATTAGATTCTGAGAGGCCCAGAGCAGCATGGTCCAGGCCATGAACATTTTTGAATGCTCTAGCAGCTGGATGTGAGTAGAGGGTTGTGGGCTTTGTGAGAAGGATGCATACTCTTTCCTCTCACTTCAGAGTTTCTTCAGAAACTGCTCATTCACTAGAAAAACTCCGATTAGTTGGTGTTTGCTTGTTGAATATTTAGTCTCTGCAAGCCACAGTGTTAGGCTCTATAGAGATCATAAGTCAGATTTTGTTTCTGTTTTTGTTTGTTGTGGGAGTGAAGATTAAACTCAGGGTCTTTGCACTGAACTGTATCCCCAGTCCTGATTTTATTTTTCATTTGGGGATAAGGTCTCACTAAATTACCAAATTTTCCAAATTGGGCTATAAGCTGCGATCCTCCCGCTTCAGCCTCCCAAAGTGTTGTGTTTACAGGTGTGACCACCATGGATACATCAAGATGTTATATACACAAGTATTTGCACACTCCATTCTTTTTCACCGATTTTCCTAGTCACTCGGCATTTCTTTATGTATCCACAAAACAGAAAAAAATTCCCTAGAATTTATTGTTGATTAATTAATGTTCCATTCAGTCCTTTTCATCATGCCTTTTTCCACACTAGGAGAATATTTCTCCTTTTACTGTTGCCAGTTAATTTAAGAGTAAGTGAACAAATGGGGTCTTTTCACATATAAAAACACCAAGAGGTGGGTTTGCATTATATACCTGTTGCTAAATGGAGGA